AACCCTGACAGTCCATCTGAAGTCAGTCTGTCAAATGGGATGGGAGGATTAACGGGGGTGAGAGATCGTTGACTGTTTTTTTTTTTTTTTGTGTGGGGGGGGGGGGGGGGGGGGGGGGGGGGGGACGTGAAAGGGGCGAGAGGGGGCTCGAGTCGAGTTATACTTCAATTCAAAAACCTTTCGATCCCAAGGTTATCGATTCAAAACAATAATATGTTTCCCTTCTTTTATTTTGCCCCCTTTGTACTGGTTTGTACTCTACCCGCGAACGAATTGCTCAATGGATTTACGGGGCTAAAAAAAAGAAAAAAAACATGGGGCAGCAGCCCCCGAAGTCTAGTATCCAGGAAGAAAAAGAATTGGAAGTTTTCCATGGCTACGCCAGACCCGGACCCGGACATTTCTTCGTCGTCATCAAAAAGAAAGTTGCGGTAGAGTGCTACCCCTCAGGGTCGTGCGCGGGTGCAGTAGTAGGTGCAACTTTTTGTGTAGCCTCCACACATACTAACTAAGGCTTTAGAAGACCTCAGAGATTTTTCGGTTTGATAAATGTTGATCAGTCTTATATGATTCATTGCTAATATTGAAATCAGTCTACTTTATTCGTAGCCTGTTGACAAAAAAAAAAAAAAAAAAAAAAAAAAAAAAAAAAGAGCCCGTTGACAGTATCCAAGCTAGTGTTGCGCATTCACATTTGGAGGCAACCAGATTGCCACTCACATATGCTTCCAATGCTGGTGGCAAATGCTTAGTAGGTGAGGCCAAATGAATTTGGCCCCCTAATGATGAGCAAGTCAATCAATTGGATGTGATTTCTGAGAACATAATATTAGGCTTGTCGATAACCTTGTACCTTTAATATGGTCTTAAATGGCTTGAAGCTTGACATTATTTGCAGGGGCTAGTTATTCACAATAACTGGTATAAATTATACATCAACAATCCTCAGAACTCATCGTGGAGACTGGTATTTTCCAAAAGTGGACATAACTACTAACTAGCTCGGTAGAACTTGGGGTTTCTATACTTCTTCACATCATTATCATATAGTCTTTGGCAACCTTCCTCTGCAAACCACTCTTTTTTTTTTTCTTTTTTTTTTTCTTTTTAAGGTGAAACTTCGGTACACGGGAAACCTACTTAACGAGGTGATAAGAGCATCCCCGGTAAGTAGGTCCCGGCGTCGAAGGCTCCATCTATTGGTGGGGAGCTACACCTGCTGGAAATCGGGTCCAGCGTCCCTGTACAATTATGAGAATGTGTCTGCTGGAAATCGGGTCCAGCGTCCCTGTACATGCATCTGAAAGTATCAGCTGGAAACGGGTCCAGCACCCCTATAGATATCCACGAAAACCCTGACATGTATGTGTAATATTTGTGTGATATGTGTGATGATTTGTGATCTTGTGAATTTCAAAATCTAAACACGAAACCCTAACTATGATGTGCTGTGATGTGAATGGTCCTTATCAATCAAAACAATAAGAGTGATATGATATGTATGTAAGCGGGGGCATTGATTACTTCCCCACGCAAGGGAAGGATTGACCACCCGCAATGTATATCCTAACCAGCCCCCCTCAGCACTCCATTGTTGATTGGTATTGCAGGCCGGGCAACACCAATCAACATCAATTGGCAACACAATCAACAACGATCATCCCACTCCTATCCTCAACCAGACGACGAGGTTAAAAGGGGGAAGGGAGGGGGAGATGGCAGACCTCTTATCCACATCAATCCCAATCCCCTCCACTTCAGCATGCGGCATCACACCCGTCGTGCTAAGTCTTTCAGCCCCGCTTCTGCCGTGGTCATCACTGCCTCCGTCGTCAACACTATCGGCATCATCACTGTTGTTGTTGATGTCATCCCCAACCCCCCTCTCAACCCTGCTGCTGCCGCTGTCGTGAATGTTATTGTTGTTGTTGTTGCTGCTGCCGTGATCGTTGCCGCCACCATCGTTGTCACTACCACCATCATCATTATTGTTGTTGTAATTGTTGTTGTTGTTGTTGTTGCCACCCCCAGCATCGCCGCCGTTGTTGTTGATGTTGTTGCTGTCGTCGTCGTGATTGTTGTTGTTGTTGTTGTTGTTGTTGTTGTTGTTGTTGTTGTTGTTGTTGCTTCTGTTGCTATCGCCAGTGTCGTCGCCAGTGTCGTCGCCGCATTTATCTTCGCTGGCATCCACTCCGCCCTCGCCCTTATCACCCATCTCGCACTCCAACTGATTGCGAAGATTGCGGCCCTTTATAAAGAGGGCTTTACACACATCCATCCCATCATCCGCCCGCCTCCAGTCGATGTAGGGTTTGAGCCGGGGATCCGGCCCCTCCTCCAGCTCCGACATGACATCCAACATCTCCTGGATCCTGTCTTCTAACCACTGCTCCATAGAGACCACCCCCCATCGATCTCCACCCCCTCCTGCCTCCGCTGCATCACCGTCCCCACTATCATCCGCAGCTGCTTGCAGCCCTCTCCCAGTGTGTCGAGGCATTCTTCCTCACGCTGTTGTAGCTCCTCCACCGAATCCATCTCGCGCCGAATTTGCTGCGCCATTCACACGATTCACTTGACAATCCCACGGCTGGCGCTGCCCCTGTCCACGTGTCGTGGGACGTCCACGTCACCAATCAACAGGCACCAAGGGGCGGATAACCACTTGCACCTGTCGGGCACGTAGGCAGGCCCAGCAGCCGGGGAGCTATTCTCCGCCGGCGCTGGTCGAGCCGGGGCGACCGGGCCCTGCCGGTCGGCCGACTTCAGGGCGCTAGCGCTAGTGCAGCCCACTCGGAATCCCAGGCAACAGGATCCTCTGCAAACCACTCTATTGGTTTGTTGATCAAGTTGCCTCTCATTATAATACCTAGCATACTCCACACACTCCAACCATCTTCTTTTTCCTATTTCCTCTTATTTATTTTCTTTTGCAGATGTTCTATCAATACAACCCTCGTGTGCTTCAAGAAGTCCTTTCCTTTTTTGTTTAAGAATGTTTTATTAGAGCTTAGGGATACAAAGACTTATGCACGTAAATTAAGATAAGACTATGGTCATCTTGGTTCCGAAACGAATGTTCTCTTGTGAGTATGCCTTGGCACCACTTTCATGGTGTATCACGACATTGATTTCCAAGCGTATAGGATCCCGGGTTTAGAGTGGGATTTAAACCACCAGTACCTTTCTCAGCCATTGATGCCGAGCCAAAAAATCCCCTGCTCGCCGGCTTTTGCCGAGCCTGAAATTGACAAGTACCAGCATATGGAGAAAAGAGGGCGGTACCGGTACCACCCTCTGTGAAGCCCGTCTGCTGGACCTCTGGCCAGCAGACGGAATACAAAGAAGGCCGGCAGCCGTTTCCACTCACGGGAAAGAAAGAAAAGAAAAGAAACAAAAAAAGAAATGTAAGAGGCGGATATGCACTCCACTTCTCCCCCAGCTCACCAGGAGTCACAGGTAAAATAGGCGCCCGTCTCGTTTCCTAGGGAAAAGATAAAACTAATAGCAAGTGCTGAACTTCTTCCCGTGAATTTCCCCCTGTTCTACAGTAAGATTCATCGACCGGGCAGTCTTTTTTTTTTTTTTTTTTTTTTTAATAGGGACCCAGTGCCCAAGGCTCAAATTAACGAATTGAATACAACGCAAACACACGCTTCTTCCCATTAGGGCTGGAAGAGCCTCGGCCACTGCTCCCATAGAGACAGCTTCCCTATGCATCATGGATACTGCACGAGCGAAGGGCATTGATTGTTTCCCCACCAGGGAAGGATTAACCCCGCTGCATGCCAGAATCAAACTCTGCCCTACCATAGTTTCCCATCGGCAGTCATACCCTACAAAGCGAAAGAAAGAAAAAAAAAAAAAAGGGGGGGGGGGGTCGGGGTAAGGTTATGGCAGGGCAAAGCAAGTCAAACAGAATGTAAATCCTAGTGAATCCCTAAAAGATTATAACACGTGTCACCCCACATCTGCCCAAATTTACCCTGAGAGATGATCCAGAAGGGAGGGCAGTCGTTGACAGAGAGAAGCGCAATGTACACTTGTCACCCTGTCTACGTTCCTCAGCACAGTTTAACACAGGACGACACTTCATTGGTGCACTTGCGGGTAATCTACGAAATTTCATTTCAAAACACCCCGCGAAACATAGAGTAAGCAAGGAGATGACAAGGCATCGCTCAAGAGCTATCCTAAACCCTCCTCGCAGCAGCCTTCCCGTGCCACCCTCTCCCCGCCAGAGTCCCACGGGAATAACTCATGGCTAAGCCCCCCCTCACCCCGACCCCCAATCAGCACCCTCCCCTGCTGTGTGCAGAGCGCCCGAAGATAGTCGGGAAGCGCAGTGGGATTGGCAAGCATGACCCCTTGCCCACCCTTCAGCCGCAGCAGAAACTCCAAAGCCTTCCAAGAAACCCCACCCAAAGTGAGGGTTGAAGGAGTGCAAATGACACTTAGTATGGCGGTCGTCGCAGCGAGAGGTGTTGTTGGTGTGTCAGTTGTTTTACTCATTGTCGACGGTGCAGTTGTTGTCAAAAGCTGTGTAGCAGATGTCATCGTGATGGGCGCTGTTGTTATAGTTGAAGTTGTTGTCACCGCTGTCATAGATGTCGTAGTTGTCAACAGTTGTGCAGCAGATGGCATCGTCACCGACGATGTTGACTTTTGTGAAGTGTTTGTCACCGTTGCAGATGCAACCGTTGTGAGTGCCATTGATATTATTGGAATCGTCACCTGTGTTGCTGATGCACTCATCTCGATCTCTGTTTGTGCTGGTAGAGTCGTTGCCGCTGCTGTGTGTGTCGTCGGTATGATAGATGTCAATATCCCAGCTCTCGCTAGATTCGACAGCAGATGTAATGGTCTTACTGTCGACGGTCGTTCAGTGGGCTCCCCAGTAGATCGTGCAGCATATTCAACACACAGATCGTTTCCCTCCTCATAGAGCTCGTAGCAGCAGCACATAAGCTCATCTACCAGCTGCCAGTCAAGAAGATGTTCCCAGCGGGGATCAGGCCCTTTCTCCAACTCCCCAAGGACACCCAGCATTCGTTGCAGCATCTCCTCCAGCCATCCGGTCAATGACGTCGCCCCCCAATCGACCCCTGACCAATCACGAGCTGCCGAAGATAGGCGAAGCACTGCCTCCTGCAAACGGCGCCGGCCATCCTGCAGAACCACAAGCCAATTATCCGCAGCCTGTTGTAAGTCCCTGTTTGAAGCCATCTCCCTTGAGGTTCGTTCCACCTTGATCTCTGCCGTCCTCTGCACAAGTTTGCCCTCCGTACGCGCTGACCGCGTCATGCTCCTGAACCCCACGTCTCGCCTCCCTCTACCCCTCTCGCCCCTATCCACCCTCCAAACTTTCACGCCCACACCGCCCGTGTCGCTGGTTACACCGCCCGTGTAGCTGGTTTTACCTTCTTCCCGCCGTCCCTCCCTCGCACCTCCCTCGTTCCCCAGCGATGGCGTCCTCCACTCTCCCCGCCCCGTCAACCCTCCTCTTTCCTAGGCGATGATGTCAACGCCGTACGTCATCCTCGTCACTTTCGAGGACTCTGGTCACTAGACCGCCGGACCCGCCGGCCGGTAAGCTCCCAACGCGCTCGCGCCTATCAACCATCTTCTTGATCTCTTCCTCGCTACACTACTCTCCACATGCACGAAGGACAAAGTATGGAAATGTATCTTTCCATGTTCTGTTGGAGGATTCAGTCTCAGTTTGCGCGTTTGGAGAGTAGTGGAGCAAGGGGCTCGTAGATTTGAGCACGGCAGTCTCAACCATTTTTTTTTCCTTTCTTTTATTAGTGCCTTGCCTCCACTAATCTCCACACACACAAGAAGACAGAGTACAGGAATGTATCTTTCCATGTTCTATAGGAGGATTCGGTCTCAGTTTGCACGTTCGGAGAGTAGTGGAGCAAAGGGTAGGTAGATCTCTACAAGGCCAGCGTCAACCGTTTTGTTTTTTTTTTGTTTTGTTTTGTTTTCTTTTTTTTTAGTACCCCTTCCACTAATCTCCACACGCACAAAAGGCAAAAAAAAAGTAAATGTATCTTCCATCATCTAGAGGAGGATTCAGTCTTATTTTGACCGTTCTAGCTGAGGATGCAGTCTCATTTTGCGTGCTTCTTTCAAAAGAGGAGTGCACTGGCAAGAAGGCAGGGCAGTCCCTTCTCCTTTTCCTGCAGGGTTGTACTTGCCCTCAAAACCGGTATAGATGCATGGAGTGACCTGCAAAAAAAAAGTTGGAAGTTCAGATCGGGCGCCCGTTGAACAAGGCGCCAGTCTCGTTTCCTTGGAGACCTGGGGCTAGGTCCCACTTGCACGAATCAAGAAATACTGACCGTAGATAGCAAAGATCAACGGCCGAAATCTCCTGATTTGCGCAAGTGGGACCTTGCCCCTGCAGTCTCCAAAAAGAGGCAGGCGCCTCTTTCAACGGGCGCCAGCTCTTTTCTTTTGTCTTCCTACAGCCATCTGGTGAGCGACCTTTTCTTTTTGCTTTCTCTTTTGCCAGTTCCTTTTTTTTTTTTCCTTCCTTCGTACGTTTTGCCAGTAGTTTTTTTACTGCGCATGTGGAATCACTTGCGGGTATGGACCAGGAATAAAACATACTAACATAGTCTATTTGCCCCATTTCCTTGGGCCCAATGGCTTCACTGGCCGTTGCACTACCAGGCCTTCCCGGACCCCCCGAAACTTCCCCGTGTTAGCCGCCGCGTGTTTGTTTTTCAAGCGGGGAAAGGTACTGGTGGTTTAAGATTGAAGCTTACGGTTTAGGGTTTAAGTCTTAGATTCTAGGGTTCGAGGTTTAGGGTTTAGGGTTTCAGGTTTAGGGTTTAGGGTTTAGGGTTTCATGTTTAAGGTTCAGGGTTTAGGGTTTAGGTTTCAGCGTTCAAGGTTTAGGGTTTGAAGAGAGTAGACAGGGTTTGGGAATGGAGACTCTGAGTTAGCATAGGGTATGGAGGGAAGAGGTTCGTAAGCAAGCAGACATGGCGATCTTGACTCATGATGCATCATTTGGGAGTGTCTTGCGAAGACAACCTGCAATGATGGTTCTCAAAGGTTTGTCCTGACCAAGACGTTATTTCCCACTCACAAGTGGTTAACGGGGACCCCCACTTTTCGGCCCTGGGTAACGATGAATGATCCTGAAATTAGGGTCGGTTAACCTTTTCTCTTCCCACTCATGTGCAACATTTCCCTTTTATTTTTCTTGAGCAGGTAGCCCGTAATGATATTGTATCCATCTGATGTCATCAGAATGCGAACTTATGATCGGTTTTCCAACAGTCACACCTTTATGCCATTCAGCCACATGAGCTGGTTATGCAGTATATCTTCTACCTCTCAAGACTTATCAAATAAAGAAAAGAAAGAAAAGAAGTAACTATTCTTCTATGGCCTGCCATGAAGCTATATCCATCTCATGATCTTAACATTGTCAATTGCATTCCATAAAGGAAAGAAAAACAAGTTAAGACAAGTGTATTTCCATACTGCTTGATGAGGATGTTTGTCAGTAGGGATGAGGATGTTCGTCAGTAGGGATGAGGATGTTCGTCAGTAGGGATGGGGTCGCTGGAAAATCATTTAGGTCCCCCCCACCATGGTGTTGTTGAATGGTTTACGCTTCGTCGGATGGGCGGAGCGGGATGGGGTAACGAAGGTATGGTTTATGAGCAGTTAATCCCCTCCTAGGAGAGCAATCAATGCTGCTCATCATCACATACCCTATTACGCACACATATTACAAATCTTCACAAACTTCTGTTTGCATAATTGAATGATTACCGTGTCAAGGGACGCTGGACCCACTTTCCAGCAGGTGCTGCTCCCCACCAATAGATGGAGCCTTCCTGACGGCGCTAGTGGTGTCTGCTCTTATCAGCACCTCTAGCGTCAGCTCGGGCTGGTTCTGCAAAAAAAAAAAAAAAAAAAAAAAAAAAAAGAGCCTTCACCTGGTTTTCTAAATTTATCTCCTTTTTCCCCCCCATACCCTGTCTTCCCCTCCTCTACCTCTCCCCCCTCCCCAGCATTCCCCTTTCCCGCCCTCCCACGGGTGACCCTCCGCCTCCCCTTTCCTTGTCGTTCGCTACTCCTGTTTTGCCCACCATCACCTGTGCATTACCAGCTTGAGCTATGCAGAGAAACTGGTGAGAGCTCATCATGGAGATATCCTTGTGAAGTCCACTAACGAAGGGACTGCGAACTTCATCTTCACTCTTCCTCTCATTCAGGTGAAGGTTCCTCCTCCCTCCCCCCCCCCCCCCCCCCCCCCCCCCAAAAAAAAAAAAAGGTAAAGGCTCCTTAATTTCTTGGAAAAAGACCAGCGTCAAGAACTAGAGAGGATGAAAATTATTTGGGGGGCATCCTCAAATGCACATGGGGCGTGCTCATCTCTTTTCTCTTTATCGTTCCTTTTTTAAAAGACGTCCCGAAGCACATTGAAGAATTTGAGGGTGCATAGCACTGCACACTAAGTCTTTTATTTTTGTTTTTTTTTAACGGATGCCGAAGTGCATTGCGGGCGCACATCAAGTATTCGGATTCCATCTTTTTTTTTTAACCCTGTGTAACTGATTGGTGCCCATAAACTGTAATAAATACACCCAAGTTAGAATCGTAACAGAATCCGATGAACATTATGTACCTCTGAATGACAAGGGGCTAGTGAGTACAATGACGACACCTCAAGGCTGTTGCCATTTTGAAAATAATTATTAAAAAAAAGTTGAGAAAGTATTATACTATTATTGGTTTACTAATAAGTTAATAACTTACTATTATTTTCCAAACTGAATGTTATTGTCATTGCTATTTTTAAATATTTTTTTAGTTTACAAGTTAAGTTTTAAATTTTAATTCAAAAAAATATATTTTCCGGTCTTTTTTTTTTTATAAGGAATATAGAATAATAAAACAATTGAAGTTGAATGATGTATGGACATACCCGTACGACAGGGCTCATCTGACCGTGCTTCAATCGGGGCTAAGCTGGGTAGTTCCTGCTTAGCCCTGGTGCCCACAACCACTGTCCGGTCAGGTCACCCCTGTTTAGATAATAGGACGGTGACAACCCTGAGAGGTGTACACTGAGGTAGGATTGTGGGAGTAGGGGTGGGCCAGGGAGAAATGACGAGTGTGGGTGGTGGGAGGGAGTCCCATAACGAATGGGCCCCTCTGTCGACCATCTGGTTATTAACCAAATGGCCGACTACGGAAGGTGACTGTCTTTGTTTGTTTGTTTGTTTGTTTGTTTGTTTAAGCCCAGGGTGTTGTAGAGGCCGGTTACTAGGCACACATTGATTGCCAGGAGCGGTCAGCCATGGTTGTCCTGAGGGAACGAGGCTACTTTCCCATCCCATCCTCACGTCAATACTCCTAGCGCACCCTCTATCTCTACGATCCTACCTCAGTGTGACCAGCACTCAGGACCATTACCCCTACTTGGTATCGAGGGGAACTCGGACCGAACAGTAGTGATAGGCACCAGGGCTAGCCATGACCCAGTCCTGGTGGAAGTGGAATCGAACGAGCCTTGTCGCACGGGAACTTCGGACGCCAGGCCCAAACAATCTCCTACTAGCCCCTAAGTTGACCAATTGGTAACTCACGCCCTCTACTCGCCCACCACAGTCCTAGTTGATTTTAAGGCGGGGTCTTAATATCCTCGAAACGCCTATCATCATCATCAGTTAATCCAGACCAACCAGTGACTCACACCCTCTACTCGCCCACCACAGCCCTAGTCTGCCCCACACAGTCTAGCTGATATTAAGGGGGGTACTTATCATCCAGACGCCTATCATCATCATTAGTTGATCCTGACCAACCAGCAACTCACGCCCTCTACTCACCCACACAGACCTAGCTGATATTAAGGGGGATACTTATCATCGAGACGCCTATCGTCATTATCAGTTGATCGTGACCTCCTCCCAGCCCTATGGTTGTGTATGCGTGTATGTACCCTGTATCATAGATGTGTGCCCGTAGGCTATGTGTATGTTCGTAATGTGTATATGGACCCGATTTCATAGCAGATGCTGCTCCCCACAATGGGGCATCTGCGAAGTACTTTAAGTACTGAGTACTGGTGAGAGGTGCTCATACCACCTCCACTAGTACATGTGTGTGTGTGTATACCCTGAGCTATGTGTGTGTATAGTATGTGTGTATGGTATGTGCTAGACTATGTATCGTGATCTTGCTATCTGGGGTAGAATCTCATGTGTGTGTATGTGGTAGAGACAGGCCTTACCTGGACAGGACCCCCCCCAAAGTCCAGAACCGGACTCGAACCTGTGACCTACAGTATGAAACTGGAGGGTTCTACCACTTGTACTACCGTGGGAAGTGGATATAATGTG